CTGTGGGTGCATATGATGCCCCTTGAAAATTACAGCATTTCGATTCTTCCATAACCTCCATATCCCAAACGCCAACCATTGCAAAATATCCTAATCATTGTCCTCCTTTTTATATTTTTGAAGAAGGAGTTGCCAGCATGATAGAAAATCCCCTCCTTCGAGCAACCTTGTATCTAACTACAAAGGGCTAGTGAACCAGAATACCCTTGTGAACTCGCAGTGGAAGGAAATGGGTATATAACAATTGAGGTCGTGAGCCCTATGAGTACAGTCAATTCAGATTGTGGGCAGTCGGCTCGGTTGAGGCCATTAGTAGTTGTAATTGAAATTGGAGGGTTGTTTTAGGATGATATCATGCTATGAAGGATTATTAAATGTTTATGAGTTACCATGCAATCTCTTTTATTTCTTTTAAAAAAAAGTATATTATATTATGTTTAGTTGTGTAGAGTTGGGAATGGCTTCTTAATCTGATTTTGGCGTGAAAAAGAAATTCATTAAATATCTAATTATATGTCTATATTTAATATATACTCAGTGGCTTGAAATTGATGAATTATGGATACTAGTTCACAATATTGTGTGGTACATATTTAAAGGTAGTTGAGAACAGTTTTGAAAGATGATGCATGGTTAAATTCAATCAAGGAACGTTGGGATTGATTTCGTTTTAAAATGGGATTTGTGTGCGAGGATTTGCATTCTCAGGTTGATTATAATCTTCCTGGGTCCTGCGAGGGGATTTGACGAATATGCGTTCTCAGGCTGACTACATGTCCCCCGAGTTCTGCGAGGATGTGTGTTCCTGGGCTGACCATATGTTTCTCAAGTTCTGCGAGGTTATAACATACATGGTACTTGGAATTGACGGAATATTATGTGAAATTGACGAAATATTTGTAGGATTGACAGTTTATAAATGGGGGTACGCAAGGGTGGAGAGTAACTGAGTTTTGTAGAGCTAAGAGGGATTTGGTACAAATTTTGCATGTATCGATGTTGAAATAAATATTTTAAAAAAATTGACTGTTAATATAAATATTGCGTAACTAACAAAATATCAGAAAAACAAGGTTTGAGTCTTTCAAGCACACTAAATGTACTATTTTTTATTAGGTGGTGGCTGGCTGGAAGCTGGCTACGATGGCTGACCGGGAGGTGCTGGCTGGCGATGTGTGGCGTCGGTGGTAGCTGGGTGGTGACAACAGCCTGGCGATGGGCAGTGAGCAGTGGCGGCTTGTTGGAAGGGGATTGCCGGAGGTACATGTGGCATAGTAGTGTGCTCGACTTAGAAGGAGTGGCATTTTGTGTAATTTTTATGTTTTTTAATTATATTATTGTAAAATTAAGTACTACTTTTTGGTCTTTGGCCTTATTGTAATTAGGTGCAATTGTATTCCTATCTTCCAAATTAGTAAATTATATAGTATCTTAAAATGAAAGCTCCCTAGATTAAAACTTTGCTCAGTGTCTAAATTCATCATACGACAAACGATGAAGTAGGAAACTGGTAAACCAAGCTCTTCGTGGTTCAGTGTTGTAGTTTGATAACTGAAATCATTTTGTCTTCTAGCCCTATGTAAAGATGTCATTTTTCCAAAAATTAATTAAATCGGAGAGTAATTGAACAATTGACAATGAAGGATTTGTAGACGCTCCTCAACTATTACTTGTTTTTCCAGAGAGAGAGAGAGAGAGAGTACTTTTGCTACGGTTTCTAAGTTACCTCAATGTTATCTTTATATAGTCTTGTAATCTTGTGCCATCTTTGGTATATAATTTAAGGGAATTATTCTTTTCCATAAATAGGGAGATTGGATAAATCAAGTAGATTTAATTAAAATAAGATCCTTGATTTATGGAGATATTCCCATTTTAAATCATACTAATTGGCCAATTAAATGGAGATTACTTGGCACAATTACTTGACCTATGGCATATTCCAATATCTGATCGGTTCATAATTGTATATCATTTTGTACCCTTCTAGCTTATGATTTGGTTATGTTATTGAGTTAAACTTGTGCTTTTAATTCATTTTCTATTTTGATAAGTCCATAATTTCATACACTTGCATGCCTTCTTTACTTAGTGATTTTGCTTAGTTTCTCTTTATTTTGAGTCACTTACCTATGTTTGTGTGTTTTGTAGGTTAAGATAGCAAGAGATAACATTTGATGCAATCCATGCATGTTAAGGGCTGATTGGCATATGAGGAATATGAGCTTAAAGACAAACACATTTTGGCTACAACCCCTTTCCAGCCCAATTTCGTAGGTCAACTTCTTGGCCTTGGATCAGCATGCTATGGGGCTCGAATGAGGTGAAGATCTTCATGAAACTTGTTCCAATGGGTGTCTACTACAACATATCCAAAATTCAGCCCAATTGAACATATGTGGAGTCCTTAACCCGTCCAACACTGAACCATGCTCAGGAGGATTTGCAGCTGCCAGCTTTGAGCCTTGTCTCCTCCTTTAAGCCATGTGCCTCACCCATGCTGCAACTGACTTTGGATCCAACATAATGAGTGAAGTGGGGAGGCATTCCAGCTATGAAATTCGAAAGGAGCAAGTTGGTACATGCTGGAGTTATTATAGAGAAAGCATGTGCATGCATGGGAAGCAAAGAGAAAGGAGAGAGAGAAGAATGAGGAATGATGAGAGGCATTTTGCTTCAGCCTTTGAACATGGGAATTGAATTGGCAGATCACTTTGGAGCTGGAAATCAGGTTTTAATTGAAAGAGGAAGCATGTGCATGCATGTGAATCAAAAAGGAAAGAAAAGATGAAATGAAGTCAATTCCAGTCTCTGTTCGGCAGCCAACTTGCAAGGCCCAAAACGCACACTTCTACCGCTCCGATGGGAATACTTTCTTCATAGAAGTTGTTCCAATGGGTGTCTACTATAACATATCCAAATTTGAGCCCCATTGGATACGTTTTAAAACCTCTGGCCTTCCTACACCAAGCCTGGTTCAGAAAACTCGTTTTTCAGCAACCAAAAGGCAACCACATGGATTGGCAACC